TGATGGTACAGTAAAATAAAGGAATGATTTTGGTTTTTACTGTTACAGAAACCTTTCATGAATTATTTACATGTTTTTATAATTAAAGTACATAACAGTGAAAAATGCATAAATGGAAAAATAAGAATGCAAAATGTGCAATTCAAAGGCAAACATAAAAGTATGAATGCAAAGATGTAAAATGAAAATGCATATATGAAAAGGTGTTTACTCAAGAGTGATCATCTTAGAACAGATTTCATTGAACACAAAAGTTTCGGTACATTAAACAAAACTTTATATATAAGTGATAGCTTTCACTCCTAACTTCTCTATTTCCTTTAAAAGCCAAACTAACTTCCACTCATACTCAGGTGTGGAGTTATCTATCTGCTTTAATTCTCTCGTGAAGCCAGCTAAATCCACCAGTTTATGAGCCACATTGTTTGTTTGAACATCAGCTTCATTCATGATATTGTCTTTTTCCTTTATCCTTCGTGTCGATTCTCGGAGTTGTAAACAATGTTGTTCATTTTTTCTTGTGAGAGAATCTTTATGTTCAAGAAGTTGTCGTACAAGATTCCCATAATCATCTAAGCATTTCTTCAATGTCTTGTTCTTGTCTATATTAGCTTTTAATTCAGTATCAATCTCATGCTGATAGATCTGATATGATGCTTCCATGTTAGTCATAGCACTATTCAACCTTTGATTTTCGACTTGACATCTTTTCAATTCACTGACAAACGTATTGCGTATTTCTTCTGCAACTCGTAAATCATGATAAAACTTCTTTGCTCGACCTTCATGTATGTTGCAATTCTTTTTCAGTTTGGTGACCCATTTGATCCACTCTTCTGGGGTGTTTCCTATGCCAGCATTTTGAAAGGTTTGACTGACCTTCTGGAAATCTTCCTGCATGGTTTTCATTTTGGTGCTCAATTCCTTGTTTTGATCATTCAAATTACGTATTTGAACTTCGAATCTAAGCAAATCTTTTTCCTTTTGGACGCATCTACTGATGCTCTTACCTTTGAATACATTTGGTGTTGATCTGGCAGGATCTTCAGTTACTAAACTAGGTTGATCATTTACCATAAATTGTAAGGTTCCCTGATTCAAAAGACTTTGAACTCGACGTTCGAAAGCAAGGCAATTCTCAATGGTATGTCCTTGAGCTCCGGCATGATATTCACAATAAGCGTTGATGTCATACCAATTTGGATACAGAGGTTGGAATGGTTTTATGTAGTAGGGAGCCACTTCTCGTGCTTCAAGTAGCTTCTCATATAACTCTTTATATGATATAGGGATAACATCAAAATGAGAAACACCTTTTTTTTGGATTGAACCTGAGTTTTAGATGTCGGGAGCAGACTAAACTTCAACGATTTCAGATTACATGATTTCTTCTCATCTCTATGAGCTTTTATAGTGGTCACCATTTCTTTGGTATCTCCAGACGATTTGTGAATACGAATGATGATTGTCTGTAATTTCTCAAATTGGTTAGGATCAGAAGTCCCTTGCATATCTGAAATTGCAGGATTATTTTCATTAAGCTTTCTCTCTTTCTGTGCAGGAATCTCTTCTCTTTTGGCCAAAACAGATATTCTATCCATCATCTTGGACATCTTCTCTCTTATTTCTCGTATCTCCTTTTGCTCTTTAATGGGCATACGATCTTTGGGTGCATAGCTCTTCTCTATCTTCAGAGTTCCCTCAGGATGTCTTTTCTTGGCCGCATCATATTTTGTTTGATCATAGAACTTTTTGTCCATTTATGATTTCTTTCCAATATGATGAACAGTCTTTCAAGTAAACACCTTCTGGTTATGCCATGATAATGCAATGTAAACAAAAGAAATCAATATGAACAGATTAGAGCAATGTAACATGCATGAAAAAATAAGAAAAAATAGAATAGTTAGTACCAACTAATGGAAAAAAATCTATCTATCAAGGTATAAATCTTAACCTCATGCTTTCTAGTTCCATGCTTTGTTTGGAAAAAATTAACCTAACCGCATGATTTCTAGTTCGCATGCATTTATTCAGGAAAAAGAAAAGGAAATAAAATAAATTAAAAGCTAGAGCTTATTTCTCCTTTGTGTACACCTATGAACAGAGGTTCAGTACTGTCTTAGATCAGGTGAATTTCTAGGGTTTATTATATGCAGAGTTTCAGTTCTAGGAGTAAAGTACTCGAACTGTCCTTGTTGATGCCCCCTTGGGCTATCAAACCCTCAATCCTAGTCCATTACAGACTTAAGCGGATCGAGTTCAATTCGAGGGGATACATTTCTCTATGACTAACACGGAGAATAAATTCTCACGAAGACATAGAGCATATGAACCACAAAAGTTACTTGCTAGGTCTGACACGGAGAATAAATTCTCACGAAGACGTCGCTTTCACTCCCACTCAAAAGGGACAAACTCAATTATAGAGCTTTATGTTATGCAATGCAGGTGTTGTGTGTGAGGAGAAATGTTCAAACCTCTAACAAATAAATAAAATAATTAATACCTGAAAAAAATATTAATAAAATAATATAAAAATAATAAGTAATAAAAAATTTGAAATAAAAGAATTAAAAATTAAATATATGAATTTTTAATTTCTAACTGATAGAGACAATTTATAATTGATTTTAAAGTTTGACGGTCCCCAGCGGAGTCGCCAAGCTGTCGTAACCGGTTTTCGTCCGGGCACGAAATTGTTTTACTTGGTGGGAAAAGTGATGTGAATAAATGTTTTTTTTAAAATAATTTGGGAGTCGCCATCGGCCTTTTGGGCCAGGTAGGTCGAATACCTAAAAATCATCTTTTAAAAGAGTTTTTAAGAAAGCATCGATTAAAAGATAAATTGATCTGCGTTTTAACCAAAAATTCATTCTTTTTAATAATAAAAAGGGATTCGTGGTCGGTTACGTTTAGGGAAGGATTAGCACCCCTACAACGCCCAAAATTGATACTTTTTTTAATTACAAATTGTCTCTAATAATAGAATTTTAAGAATTCAAATATATTTAATTTATAATTATGTTATTTCAAATTTTATTAATATAATATTTAAGAAAATATATTAATATATTTATAAAAATATTTATTTATTTAGAAATATCAGAAAAGGACTTCTAGGTGCCTTAAGACAGCTCTTTTCTTCGATATTAATAAATAAATGACTAAAACATTTTCTTAAGATAATAAAAATTTATTTTAATATAGTAAGATATTTATTTTAAAAAAATATCAGAAAATGGCTTCTAGGTACCTTAAGACAACTCTTTTCTTTGATATTAATGAATAAAAATAAATATTAAAATTTTAATAATTTAAATAAAACTAAATTATAATTTTTATAATGTTTAATTATTTAAAATACCAGAATAGGACATCCAGTTGTTTTAAGACTGCACTTTTCTTTGATATTGAAAATAAATATACATTATTATTTAATATATATATATATATATATATATTAATTTATGTGACTAATATGAAAATAATAATAATAATATAAAAGTAGAAAAAAATTAATATTATAAATAAATAATATTTAAAATAAATTTAAAAGCAATAATATTAAATTGCAAAATATATAAAAACAATCAGGATCAAAATGAAAAGAAATAAAATATTGGTGACTAAAAAGTAAAATATTAAAATTAAAGGGCATAATTCGAATTAACAAAAAAACTTTATGCTAATAATGTAATTTAACCTTATTTAATTAATTCGGGTTAAAAAATAAATTATAAAAATTATGAAGGACTAAATAAGGCATTTAACCTAAATATATGTATAATACAGGTAAGAACTAAATTAAAATAAAATAAAATTATAAGACTAAACTAGAATAATCAAAAATCAATTTCAGTGACTAAATTGTAATGATTACAAACTTGGAGCACTGCGGACAGGGTTTACCCTCTTCTCAAAACGCACCGTTTCATCATGAAACGACGTCGTTTTGTATCGGGTATAAAATACCCAAAACGGCTGGCCCTTCGGGCCAGCTCTCATTTCTTCTTATTTCTCTTCTCTCTCTAGCTGAGAGAGAAGAGAATTCTCTCCCCTCTCTCTATTATTTCCCTCACCGGAGGGAACACGGTCTTCGACCGACAGCCGTACTCCAGCGCCGAACACTGGTTCTAAAGGCCGAATCCGGCATCTATATTCCCCAAAAGTCCCTAGAATTTCCTAGATCTAAGAAAATACCTTCGGTATTTTCAGTACTTCGACGATGTTTGGTGTTCTCCGGTGGTTCTGCTTCCTCGGTAAGGGTTTCTCTTTTCTTTTCTCTCGATTTTTTTTGCTTCGTTGTTGTTGACTGGGATGTTTGGTATATTTTTTTTGCTCTTGTTTCTGTTTTTCTCCGGTTCTTCCTCCTTTTTTTGTTGCAGGTGTGGTCGATGGCTTTTATAGCCATCGACGGTGTGGCTCTCGGACCGGTCAAAGGAATGGAGTTCGGTGAGTCACCAAAACTATGTGGTGACTCACCCCATAGCCGCGACGTGTGGGGGGGGCAGCTGGCTTCTGGAGATTTCGTCGGAGGCGGTGGCGCCGTGGTTGAAACACCTGGCATTGGAGGTGTCGGCATCGTCGATTGGAGCACTTGGCATCAAAGGCCGAGGCATCTGGAAGCTTCTGGTAGCTAGAGAGGCGGCTGCGGCGCGGGGCTTCTGGAAACGGCGGCTGGGAGCTAGGGTTTAGAAACCCTAGCTGAAACTCCCAAATGATTTGGGCTTCTCGGGCCTGGTTCAAGTTGGGTCACTGTTGGACCTGATCTGGGCTCCGGGATCTTGTAATTGGGCTTTGTAATATTTAATAAATAATATATAATAATAATTATAATAATAATACTAATAATAATAATTTTAATAATAATAATAAATTTAAATGAAAAAATTGATGTCTACAGACAGATTGAGAACTCTGATGTACAGAGAGGATCGACAACGATTCTTCCATCTTCAGTTACAAGCCAAAATGATGGAGTTCAGATTGATGAATCCAACAATAACTCTGGAGTAGAGGGTACACGAGAAAAACTTATTTCGTTAGACACAATTGGGAGTTCAAAAACTGGCCAGAATGAAGAAGTTCATTCTTCTGATTCTTCAATTGCCAAAGGGGGGACAGCATCCTTGAACACTAATGATAATGCCGGTTCTGGTCAGAATGAGAGTGGCGACGATACCAGCAATGACACAAATGTAAATGGGAGAGACAACAGAAGTGACAATCAGAGCAACACTAATGATATTGCAAATGCAAATGAAGATGTTACTGAAAAGGATAATAACAATTCAAGTTTAAATGAAAATGCTGCTCAGAACAACAACAGCAACGAGAATGCTGGTCAGAACGAGAATAATGCTGCTCAGAGCTATACTGACAAGTGACAACGACAATGTAAGTCAGAACGAGAATAATGCTTCCCAGAGCAAAAATGAGAAAGCAAGTCAGAATGAGAACAATGATACTGTTCTGAGCAACAACAAGAATGAGAATGCTGGTCAAAACGAGGACAATGCTGCTCACAGTGTTACCAACAACCAGAATGGTGGTCAGAATGAGAATAATGCTTCCCAGAGCAACAACAATGATAATGCAAGTCAGGATGAGAACAATGATGCCATTCAGATCAATATCAGCAACAATAATAAGGCATGTCAGAATGAGAACAATGATGCCGTTCAGATCAATACCAGCAACTGTGATAAGGCAAGTCAGAATGAGAACAATGATGCTATTCAGATCAATACCAGCAATAATGAGAATGCAAGTCAGAATGAGAATAAAAATTCTGTTCAGATCAACACCAACAACCATGAGAATGCAAGTGAGAATGAGAACAATGCTGTTCAGAGCATTACCAACAACAAAAATGCCTGTCGGAATGAGAATAATGCTTCTCAGAACTATGACAACAATAACAGTGAGAATGCAAGTCAGAATGAGAATAATAATGCTGTTCAAATCGACACCAACAATTAGAAAGCAGGTATGAATGAGAACAATGCCTCCCAGAATTACAACAATAACAGTGAGAATGCAACTAAGAATGAGAACAAAAATGCTGTTCAGATTGACACCAACAGCGAGAATGCAAGTCAGAATGAGAACAATAATGCTGTTCAAATCGACACCAACGGTGAGAATGTAACTCAGAATGAGAATAACAATGTTGTTCAAATCAACACCAACAATGAGAATGCAGGTAACACTGAGAACAACGCTGCTCAGAGGATTGCTGACAAAGAAATTGCAGATCAGAACGAGAATAATGCTTCCCAGAATTTAAACAATGACAACAACAGCACCAATGACAATGCAAGCCAGAATGATAACAATGATGATGTTCAAGGAAATACAAACAACCGGGAAACCACAAATCAGGATGAAACTAAGACTGCTTATACCTACAATAATGAAAATGCAGGTCAGAATGAAAACAACAATGCTGCTCGAAGCAACACTCACAACAATGGAATTCGGCTGAGAATGACAACAATAATGCTTCAAAGACCTACAAGGACAACTATGCAAGTAACGATATTAGGACTTTGGCAGATACCAAGAATGGGGGAAATGATGATGATCATGTAGCTGCAGAGTGAAAATGATGTTCTGTTGTTCACTAAATGACTATTATTGCCATCAAAGTTCTGTTCTGTACTTGAAGTGATATTATAACTGGAATTGTTTGTTTTGTACTTATAGTTCTACTTCTAATTATTAACACTCCAAGTTCCATAAGCCACATATGTATATGTTTAAACTGTGTTCTCCGTCTAGCAAAAATGAAAGTCATAGGCTTTGATTCAACAGTATATCTTTCTGGAAGCCTTTTGTCTAAGAAAGTTTCTTTTCCTGCAAATGTGTCTAGATGCCTCTTACATCATCATTTTGATTCCATGAATTTGTTGCTTAACTTACAAGGACCAGCAGAGTTGGCAAAGCAATAAAACCTGATGGCGCCCCAAAAACTAAAACCCATCTGAAAAACTAGACTCTTAACCTTATCTCTATCATCCTAACTTCCGCTTGGATTGTCATACGATTCTAGGATTTCTTGGTAACATCATTATTGCTTATGAAAAGACCTTCCATCTAACATTAAACAGTGAAAACGCTTGGTCTCTTCCATTGAGAAAGCAATCTCTCCAGTCTTCAGTTATTTGTCATAATCTTTACCAATATTCTTCTCTCTCATTGGGTAGTATTGAACTCTCCAAAAATCATTCTCAATCAGCTCCATACTCTCTTTCATATTTCCAATATGCAGCTCTACTGCCAACAGCTCCCACTTCGACACCCAGGCCAGGACATTCCATTTATCAGAATTTGGTTCAAAAGTCTATTTTATTGTTTAAAAGGAGTTAAATGCTAAAAAAACATGATTACACTCTAATGCAAGGACAAGAAATTCACTACTTTTAACATATGTACAATAATATTTAATTTGTTTTTGAAATTTGGGTTTCATGATAATATGGAAACGTATTTCGAACGAGATCATTTTTTTCATAAATTAATACATAATTCGAAATGTTAATGTGCACCTTCCATGTGATCACCTATTATTTGATCTCTAAGAATATTCTTCACAGAGATTTCTTAATACATCCAGCAACCCCACACTCTTCACTGTAATAAACCTTCAATTGTACATTTTCTATCACATAAACACAATCAACTCAAAATTAAATAATCGTTGTTGCATCACCAAACATTTTTAACTTCAATTCACTCATGTAGATAAGCCAGTTTCAAATTTTTTTCCAATACAAATAAACAGTACTAAGGCATAACAAATATAATCATCCATCAGACGAATTCAGACAAGACCAAAAGGCAATTTCAGTCCCTCAAATATATGCCGACAATAACAGTTTATCAGTCTCCCTATTGTTTTTCATGTATTTCAAGTATATGCAAACAACTATGTCTAGTCTCTCATGAAAGCATATCATACATGAACTCATGGATTCAATCTGGGTCACACAGCCATCATTCATGAATTGAATCAACCAAGCAAACTGAAAGAAAAAGAAAACATGGTAGACATAGGAAAAGCCACTTTATTATTATTATTCTTGATTTTCAATAATATGTGGGGGGGGGGGGCAATAATGTTATTGAAGATCCACAGAACCACCATCGGTAGATCAATTCGGGGAAGCATTACTTCCTCCTGCTGACATGGAAGTTGAAGAGGCACCCTTTGCTAAAAGTTCCTGACGACGCTTTTTCAGCTTCTCAATAAACTCCGATGTCTCTGCATCCAGTGCCAGCAACTCCTCCGGGTTGAGTTCATCGAGTGGTCTCTCCACCAGCCATTGGCCCTTTCTTTGGTACTCCATCTTCATCTGTTCAAGTTGCTTAGCTCGAAGTTTTGCAGCTTTCAGATTTTTACATGCATCTGAGTATTCTTCTAAAAGCTTCTTCATATTGACCAAAAATTTAGCAACATCGTGGCTGATTTCATCTGCAACTAGCTTCCCACGGTTGGCATGCTTATCTATATTAGCCACAACACCAGGACGAGCATCCTGCAGAGTATTTTCTCCTTGTGCCGTTGACTTCTGATTCCTTCTCCGCTTGACCTTGAGCAAAGATCCTGCCATTCAGAAACTATTAGAACAGCGAAAAGAAGTGTTTAAAGGATGTATTTGTGAAATATGGAGAACAAAAACATGTTATTTATAGCACTTTGATGGCTAGAGTAATTATTCGGAGTTATTCAAGTCCCGTTTTTCGATTAGTCACCTCCACTTCCTACCATATATTACAATGGCAGAGATGTAATAAAAATAAACTATTCTATTTTCCTTTTAGGACTGACTAGTAAATGGCAATGCTTGAGTGTCCTAGGTTGGCACGATTAAACAAAATCGCGGTTTAGGTGCTGGGATAGAAATGGAAGTTAAATTCCATAATATACCTGCCATAGCCGCAAAAAAATGAAATAAGCCTACCAAATTTATCTAATAGGAAAATATAATGGCACTAAACAATCCAAGATTTGCAGGATACTGCATTAAAGAAACCTTTTTATCTGGAAAACAGAATTCATTAATTGTTGGTGTATAGTTGTCCAAGTGACTCAACTTACCCTAGGGCCACATGGTTTGCAGAGCACCATACACTTCATATGGCAACCTATCCGGACATTTTCCTAAAAAAAGTCAAGTCACTTAAGATCAGCTATGAATTGGTAACAAAGTAATTAAAAAATTATAATAGGTTACAATTTCAGACCTCCATTAATTACATTAAATTAGTATGAAATGTAACATTTCTATTTGAGATGCAGATCATCGCATGATGCTAGATATTTTGGTTAAGACCGATATTTTGATTTTATGCCAGGATTATTTGTCAATCAAGGAATCCATACACCTCATTTTTTAGGGATTATAATCATATGAAACAAATATAAAGAACTCCTCTTACTATATACTACATGTTATCCGGACTCTTCATTTTCTGATACTTATGTTTTACACATTTGAGCACAAGTATAGGAGTACGGTACTCCAAATATATGAAAAGAACTTAACATGATAACATAGTAGGCTATAGAGTTGACAGCAGGTGCAAATGGTGTGACTTAAGCCAGAAAGTTCTATTCGGAAATAGGTTCTTACAAATACAGCCATATTTCTCCACTCCAACACATTTGCACAAATAAATATTTTCTGAAGCTTTAGATCTTACGATTGGTACCAAATATTTATGTGTTCCTCGCATTTTTAAACCATTTCTGCCTCTATTTTTATCATCAATCTAGATGAACTTATAAACTTTGGTAGCAGGTCACATATAGCGTAACTATGCAAAAGGCTGCAACATTTATAACAATGCTAAGACAATTTTTTGTAAGGAAAAAAAAACAATATATTAAAGCCATTTAAAATTGAGAAAACCGAAGATCAGACACAAAAGATCTAAGTCTAAGTGGTCTCAAATGTTTCAGATGCGATTATAACCCTCCCAATTATTTCGCTGTGCAAAAAAGTTGTTTCTTGCTCTTTTCTTTTTCACCAACCCCCACTTTTCCTCTTAATTAAACTGACAAAGCTAGAACACTTCACATCTACCGTGAAAGAGGGATTATAGATTCCATTTTTCCAAATACAAGTCTTATAGGTAAGATTAGGTATCAGTAGAGTGGAATAAGACTAAAAAAAGGCAGACAAACAGGATATTTAGCTAACATCTAATTGTATTCAGTTCAAGAGTGAAACAATTAAATCCATACCATTATATAAGGATCTAAACATGTAAATCCATAACAGTTCCACGGTTGTTACTATGATTCCCTAATACATTTAGACATTTTCCCTTCTTTTTGATCACTATTTTTGTCATCAATATAGACAAACTTTATAAACCTTCATAGTGGGTCACATGTACCATAACTACGCAAAAGACTGCAGCAATTATAACAATCTAAGACATTATTTTGTGAAAAAAAATATCAAAGCCATTTACAATTCAGAAAACTGAAGATCAGAAACAAAAGATCTAAGTCTAACTGGTCTCAGATGTTCCAAATGTGATGATAATACTGTCAATAATTTTGCAGTGCGAAAAAAGTTGGTTCTTCCGCTTTTTCAGTTAAAACTAGATGGAATGAGGCACCAACACCACCCCAACTCCCACTTCCTCTTAATCAAACTGACTATGCTAGAACTCTTCACATCTACAGTAAAAGTGGGAGTATAAATTCCAATTTTCCAAATAGAAGAGTTACAGGTAAGGTTAGGCATCAGTAGAGTGGAATAAGACTGAAAAGCTAAGACCAGTTTCACATGAGTAGGCTCTCATCAATAAAATACTAGGTAGAAATATTCCAGTCATGCCTTGATTTCAAGAGTAATTTGTCTTTTATGATTTGTAGAAATAGAGAAGAAAGGTTTTGGAACAGAGAAGAAATTGAATAATCAATTACATAGGTTTGGCCTTATATGGGCAGATTCACAAAGAAGGTACAATAGGAATACAATTCTTAGTGTCCTACTAGGAGTTAATCTAATTAATATCCTATCTAATCTCTTAATTAGATAAGATGTAGAGTACAGAGTAAATAGAAAATAAAACTCTTAACAATTAAGTTAAACGAAAACTCTAACAATTAATTTATGAGGCTACAATCTACATGATATTAGGCTAGCATCTAACCGTATTTAAGTTTGAATTAAGAATGAAACAACCGAGCAATACCATTATCAAAGGGTCTGACATGTAAGTACATAACGGTTCTGCAATGCCACTTTTATACATTTAATTGTTTATTAAAAGTATATGATAAGAAACTTATGTTACCGGACATTATTTATACAACTAGCATGTTTCTTTAAGCTTACCTATTTTCATATCCTCACTTCACAACATCTATTCATTCGATAATATGTAAATCAAACATGTTCTCATTCAAAAAGGTTTCCAGTTCGATGGTTTTCATTCCACTATTATTTAGCCAGTTAGAATCAACTAAAAATTGAATCAGATGATCAAGAAATCGTATACAAACATCAACAACTATGAAACTATTTATAATTTCCCCAGTTTCTGGGGACCTTCTTTCATTCTATATCTAG